GCAGTATGTACATGCTACATTAGTTATTTATATAACATACAATTTATTTGTTTATGTAATTAGTAATTCCTCAGTGTTAGCGTTTGTTATGATATACCATCAATAAATGTTAATCCATTGTACAAGGCCCTGAAACATGTATATTCATACTGCATCACAGACAAAATCCTGAACTATATAATTGATATATAAACAGATATACATGTATTCTTTATGTAAAATGTTTTACTTAAGGTTTACTTAATATTATTCTGCTTTAATTTTCATACATGATTGCCTTGACAACTACCATTACGTACAATTGTTTGCTAATGACGCACCATACTAGTTTGCAATGTATAGCAGTGACCCCCACAGACTACAAATATAGACAATGTTATATTGGATAATTATTACCCCTTCCCCCAAAAAAACAAAACAAACAAGCCATGCATGCATGGCAGTCCCTGTTAGTTATCAAATTTGAGATATTTAGTTTTGTTTATAGTAATATAGCTGGAATATAACCATGTCAGGAATATGATTTTTTTAACATTAAAATGATTGACATTTGTATTTGATCATCAAACAGGTACTTGTCCATATTGAGAGATATTGCTCTGGAACAGCATTCAAAATCAGCCATTTTGAATACATGTATATATATATATATATATCGTACTCGACCGCGTTAGCGCCCAGGGGCCTCAACTCAGAAAATCACGATTTTTTAGGGGTGGGCGCTTACCCGAGCACCCCCCTCGAAAAAGAGTGCAAATGAAAAATGTTATTCATCAAGTGACAGATTACGTCTTTGAGGGAAATCAAATTACGAAATTAGTTGAGTCGTCATTGATTTTCACAATGAAGGAACAGAAATGGTCACAAAAAATATGCACATTTTATTACAATATTAATTACGTACCACCAGAATTTACGAAATTAAAAACATTTGAGTCTGTTGGAACACAGTCGAAGTCAAAATTGTCATATTATCCCCACTGACGAAAGTGTTGGATCGTACGCAAACTCTTGATGAAAATCACTTTCCGCCATGATGCATTTGCAGATTTCACCTGCAGCGGCGTCCTTTGACCTAATGGGTCAAGTTGGTTATTAACCAATCACAATGCTGTGTTGTACTGACGCAATTCTTCGGAAATTCCCGAAGACTTTCCGGTAAAGCAATGCGGAAGTGAATTATCGATGTCGAAGTACGATCTGTTGGAATTGATTTCAGCAAATAAACGACATAGTTTTTCCAAAAAACTAGTAACTAGCCATTTTTGAGAGGTAAACTGAATATAGCATGAAATATTTACCGCATTTTACTTGTATTAACAGGTCATTGTCGAAGCGTAGGTTACGCACGGTTATCGTGTTCTATTCATTCACAACATGTTCGCAGCGATCGATATCCACGCTGTATCATATAAAAACGATTACCAAGATTCGTTACGCAAGACCAAGTTTTAAATTAGTTGCATTTTGAAGGGGTGGGCGATTTGCCGAATGTGACCCCAAATAACGCGGTCGAGTACGGTATATATATAACATGATGTATAACGAATATATAAAATTTGAATATAATCAGTCAAAGCATTTAAGAGTTATGGCTCTAGAAGCCCATTCATTAAAACAAAATGGCCGCCAGACAGCCATTTTGAATCTGATCTGAAAAATAAAATGACGTGCATCAGGAACCCGTAATGTCTAATGTATGTACCAAGTTTGAACGAAATCCGTCCATAAATGCTTGATATTTGATGATTATTTTAGCACAAAAATGGCCACTATTTGGCCATTTTGAATATGATCGTCTATCATTGACATGATGTATAATGAATATATAAAATTTGAAAATTATCAGTGAAAGCAAGTCAGAGATATGGCACGAGAGCCACATTCATTAAAACAAAATGGCCGCCAGTCGACCATTTTGAATCTTATCTGAAAAACAAAATTATTTGTATCAAGGTCCCATAATTTCTAATGTATATACCAAGTTTGAACAAAATCCATCTGTAAACAGCCGAGAAATGCTTTATTTTTAGGATTTTTTAGCACAAAAATGGCCACCATTCGGCCATCTTGAATCAGATCGTGAAACAAATTGACGTGCATATGTATAATATCATGTATGATGTATGTGTAAAGTTTGATTGTGATTGGTTGAGGCATTTCTAAGATACAGGTCCAGACACACGGACAGGCACACACACGCACGGACACACGGAGGTCAAAACATAAGTCCCCGTTTTCGAACTGCGTCCGAACAGAGACTAAAAACATGGCTGAACAATAAAATAGCAATAAATGAGGCAGCATTTGCTAAAAGTGGTTTCTTCAATGAGTGCACTTATGCTGTGTATTAGTTTAAAAAATGCACATTGACTAAATATATTTACAAGCTTTCATCATTGCCATTTGGTAAGAATGAATTATAAAAACAGATATAATAATAATATATAATGAATTCTTCCATAAAAATTATTCTATTTTGATTATGAAAATATAATATTAAAATATGAAACTTTCTCACGCAGTTATTAAAATAAGGGTATTTAAAGTTGGTTTTACAAATTCATTAATAATAAAACATACTGAAAAATACTTTATTTTAGCTGGAATAAATTTTCGCTGAATAGACTTTTTGGGTGTTTTGTAGGGAATTTATTTTCACTGATTTTTGACAAGTTGAATGTAAAATATAGGAACAACGGTATATTCTCGCTGGATTTTATTTTCACTGAATCATTCCTTCTGTGAAAATTAATTCCAAGTGAATATAAGGTATTCTACAGTAAGAGATCAATGATGATCTGGTGTATTTTGATTCAGTACTAATATAGTATGTACACATGGAATGGCGGTAATATTATTATAAGACCATCACAGCTCAACTCATCTCAGCAGGTACAAATCGTTGAATTTTCACGTTAGATAGACATCTGTGAGCAGTATTCATAACTTGACTAAGTTATACATACCAGTTTTCAATCCCTAAATCATACAAAATACAACACATTTATCAATGTAAGCACTTTCATTTTTCATTGGCTTTTAATTTTACTATTCTCACTGAAAAGTAAAATCTACTAAATTAACATTAATAGAATGCAATTAAAATAAA